GGGGGTACCGTTATATGGGGGCTATACGATAACGTGGAACTTTATAGACAATTCTTTTCCAGGGGGTAATGTACTCACATTAAACTCCTTGTGAGAATTTTCACACAATTCCATTGAAAAATGTAACAAGTAAAAAAGTAGTTAAGTTCGGCCTGGCCGAACTTTTAATACCCTCCACCATGAAAAATGTAAAATTAAAATGGAATAATTAGTTTCCTTTCGATTTCAAAAGTACTTAGCTCCATCGCCACGCCAAGGCTTATTCCTTGATGGAGTAGTTTATGATAATTAAGGTATAAGATTTTATCTAAAATAAAATTAGCCAATTAACATAAACCGAACATATATGCATTTCAATATAATTTATTATATCGAATATATACAATATAAAAATAAATCTAAACAATTCATAATTGCATTATATTATGAAGAAACATAAAAATGTATATGAAGTTTAAGATAAATAATTGAGGATAAATATTTGTTGTATGGAATAACTTTTACAGATAATCCCATGTGGCGCTATGTTAGTAAATGCCCAATCTATATGGGTTCCGTGCTTAGTTGTGCAAGAATTTCTATCCAAAAGTGGAAAAAATCCTTTGCTTACTAACAGAGTTTCCGTTAAATTCTGAGTACTCCGACGACAAATGTTGAAATCGCCAACTATAATATTTTGTCGTTATTTGTAGCAGCAATTCTTCTATGGTTTCAGCAAGAATTTGACGAAAGGAACTCTCTGCAAAATTTGCATTTCTATACACTATCATTAGACATATACCTTTGTATTTCAAAACGATGTACTGCAAAGTCTTACATGCTTCGGAAAGATCCCTTTTCATAAGACCGCTGATATCATTTACAATATTAGATCGACTTAATGTTATGATACCTCTCTTATTTCTGGTTCTTTCTTGAGGGTCTTTTACGCAGTCAATTCTGGCAATTTCAGAAAATCCCATTAAGTTGCAGCTTTCGTTTGGGAAGGACCATGTTTCCACCAAAAAAATAAAATTAGAATTCGTAATTGTATAATCTGCACAAATATCTTCTTTATGAGCGCGAAAACTTGAATGTTTTGGAAAAATATTTTGAAATCTTTCTCAACCAATTCGAGAAACTCAAAATGAAGATTTAATTGTTTGGTGTTCCTTAACTTATCTAGTTCTATTTTAACTGGGTCGGAATCCTGAAACGATTTCGGTGGAATAAACGGTCCTACTATGTATAGGCCAGATGCATTTGTTGCTCGACTACAGGCAACATAAAGGGCGGCTCTGGTCATCCTACTTTGTGTGTGCACAGCAACCTTTGCGTATGTGGCACCTTGACTCTTGTGAATAGTGATTCCTTCTGCTACAACCAAAGGAAATTGACATCGTTCAATACAGATTTTATCATTTCGTTTAAATTGAAATGATCTACTACACTTCTCAACTGGTGTCCAAAGTTGTTCGGAACGATGAGGCTTCCTTCGCCGTGTTTCTCTACCAACAGTTTCATCTGAAAACAACAACCAAAGAATTTTTGGGTTGGATGATTCCCGTTCAAATTCTATCTCCATTAGAACTTCACTAGCTCCATTGACTAAGCCGTCCGATGTGTTAATGTTTATTGTCATCATATACTTTGCTGATTGTTTTAATGTCAGCTCCCGGCATAGTCCTTGAGTCTCTGAAGTTTTCAATTTTGTAACTTGGTTTAAGATGTTTACGGTTTGTGCAGGAATGAATCACATTTAACAACGTCGCGCGCTCTTGATGCGAATGTTTCAGTAGGTGTTTGGTGCAACTTCTGCGCATTGTAGTTATTTGCTTCTTCGTTTGATACAAACAAATGTATTGCATCCATTGGTATATCACTTGTGTCGCTTTTATCTGCTTCATTTCTCCAGGGCAAATACAGCATTACCAATGAACGAAAGTAATCTTCTCTGTTTGCATCGACATTGAACTTTGGAAATCTTACAATAGCCGCATTGTTTCTTTTATATACGTATCCCGAATTATTTTTTAGTCGAAGGGGAGCGCCAACTTGATCTAAATTTGTGTCATCGTTCTCAAAAAAATCATCTTCTTCCTCTTCATTGGAACGAGATTTTCTCAATCTTCGTGAATATGTGTAATACGATGCAAAATAAGCCAAACATATATTTTCTAATATATCTGGACGTTGTATGTAATGATCCAGAATGTTCGCTTTGAAAATATCAGTTGATTCCCTTTCGAGGTTTTGCAGTTCTTGCCTTGATTTTAGCATCCGAATTCGTTTTTCGGGTGGGAAAGTATTCACATAAACCTCTGTAGTACAACATTGCGACATACTCATACCCAGTATATTTTAAGATGCCTCTTGAGCGGACACTTCGGAGGCGTTAATAAATTTGTGTCCTATATGCTCAAGTCTCTCTTTGACAGAATAATTTCCCTCTCGTATTTCATGCATAGTTTCTTGCAGTAATCGGGAAACACCCCTATTGGACTTATTTATATAATTTACAATATAAGTGACACATGCATATGCATCTAGAACGAATTGTATGTCCATATTCGATTTTTGCATTGTTAGGATTCTTGGATTGAATGCATTGATGGATCTGTCTTTGAATGTTCTTTTCAGAAATATTTGAGGTTTTTTAATTGAAGATCTTAGTGCTAAAATGTATTCGTCCCTATTTAAATTAATTCTTCTGTCAGATAAGAAACTGTCAAATTGCTGAAGTTCATTAATATCTTCATCTGAAAGATTTGCGTTGAGCAATGTATGAATTTTGTCAAAATTATCTTTGTGTATCTTCAGTATGTCGAGATCTGTGTCTTCGGGCAGTGGAAACAGTAAGTCTGTGGCTGGCATTGGAGGGTGTGGAATGTGGAAACGACAAAACTTTTGACCCCTTATTCTCGTTGACATGATCTTGTGTGATTGTGACGTTGGACGTTAATATACCTTCGACATCTCTGATATTAGAATCTGTTGAAATGAATTTATCCACAAACTCTATAACGGGTGGGAAAGATGTAGTATCTGATATATTTAACTGAGGTGCATTGTTCAGCCAATATATGCCGTGCAAATGTGGAGATCCTCGCTGCTGAACGCTATTCTCCAATAATATTTAATAACGTTATACTCATCGAATATACCACCATAAGATTTGAAATGTTTGAATAAGTGCCTAATTCGCTGATCAAATATCGAGAGCATGTGATAGGGTCCTCCCGTATGAGATCATACTTTCTTTGTGTAGAATAGGAATTGGCTTCTTCCTCCGAAATCTCTGTACCTTCTAAAATTTTTACAAGAATTACAATTAATTCTGGCCATTGAGATTCCGCAGCAGACAATGTTATGAAAAACGTAGGTAATCCAAATTGCCTAATCATTGACAAAACTTTTTTCTTTTCACTTTCCCAGTGAGCTGGTGAAGACCGAATGCCCTTCAGGGCGTGATACCCGTCATCATATTGCACTAAATTTTGAACAAACCGCTCGTCTAATACATCTGCAGCTGCAAATTGTCTGGCTCCCATTTTTTTTCTCAAACACGTTGATATGCTATTCTTAGTACGTGAAAATTCTAGTTGTTTATATGAATACAAAACTTTATCCACGCGTGCGCAACGCCTATCAAATCGTCGAACCTCAGACTTTATTACTTTCCCAACAGTGGCAGTGCAATTCCTTTTGATACCACAGTAAATGGTAGGGTAAGAAAGTTCTTCGGAATCCTCATCAAGCAGCATGTCTAAGGGTCTTTGTCCTTCACCAGAGGCTATTGAAATACGTTGTAAGGGTATATTTTCCGCAGCTTGATTATCTAATAATGTTTCTTGTGGATTTAGCTCTTGAACTTCATCCTCTAAAACATTATTATTTATCAACTGAGAAACCAAGTCCTGATCATTTACATTTGAAACAAAAGGAATCTGCTCAGTTGAACTCATATTACTTAGCCATTCACTTGAAATTTGAATGTTATGTTTTCTATACAATTCCGTATTCACTAGGTATGAAGCTGCCTGAAAAATTTTGGCCGGGCGGATTGTTTCTGTCATAAACTGTGTTCATAGGCAATTCTTCGCTTCAGATATACCTGAACCACTTCAGTCTGATCCGTTGATCGTGGAAGAACATTAACAGTTGTTGCCAAGTGAATAGGCACATTGACCACAGCACCTCTTACGGCACATTGGCGGTTGTACCCAAAAGAAACAATTCTCATAAATGGAATTCTTGGGGAAACAAATCTTTCTTCTAATGGTGTCAAACCACTTAAATCATGTGCGATGTCTGGAAAAGATAAGCCTTTTGAAAGACAAATGGTTGGAATTTTACCGCCACTAACAATCTTATGACAAGTATTACAGAATTTGTACTTATCATTAGCGGAGGGAAATTTATCAGAGAGATAAAATACATCTCTTAGATTGGAAAATTTTCTTAAGAAGGCACTTTTTAGAATTAGTTTAATTTGGCTTGGAAACCAAAGTCCCCCACAAATGCAAACTTCCGTTGGACCATGTTTAATAACTTTAAAAAACTCACCGAATACTCTTGAGCGATGACGTGCGCGATCCATTTCCAAAACATTTATTCGTGATTCAGGGGAAAGTTGTTGTCTCACATTGGCGATCCTCTCTGCTTGCCGAGCATTTTCATTTTGGCGATTAACCGGATTCATTCGGTGAATAAGCACACGACAATTTCTATCATGTATTTGCTGACTTGATTGAATACGTGATGTACGTCTTTGGTGCGATCTTCGTATAGTATTCCTTTGTTGCTCTAAATACCTGTAGTTATCGTCCTGCCGGCGATGAGAATGTTCAAGCGTGTTGCGCTGTTGTTCTTGCATTCGGTAGTTTTCATTCTCTCGATGTTGTTGGTGACTTAACGCATCGCGCTGCCGTTCAATATACCGATAATTTTCATCCTGTCGCCGAATGGAGTGCTCTATTGCGTTTTGTTGTTGTTCTATCAATCGGTAAGATTCATCCTCTCTATGTAGTTGATGACGTATTGCATCGCGCTCCCCGTTCCAAATGCCTGTAATTGTCATCTTGTCGCCGAATCGAGTGTTCCTGTGTATTCCTTTGTTGTTCCATCAATCGGTACGCTTCATCCTCTCTATGTTGTTGGTGACTAACTGCATCACGCTCTCGTTCCAAATGCCTGTAATTGTCATCTTGTCGCCGAATCGAGTGTTCCTGTGTATTCCTTTGTTGTTCCATCAATCGGTACGCTTCATCCTCTCTATGTTGTTGGTGACTAGCTGCATCACGCTCTCGTTCCAAATGTCGGTAATTTTCATCTTGTCGCCGAATCGAGTGTTCCTGTGTATTCCTTTGTTGTTCCATCAATCGGTACGCTTCATCCTCTCTATGTTGTTGGTGACTAAGTGCATCACGCTCTCGTTCCAAATGTCGGTAATTTTCATCCTGTCGCCGAATGGAGTGCTCAAGAGTGTTTCTTTCTTGTTCTACCATTCGGTAGGATTCATCCTCTCTATGTTGTTGATGACTTACTGCATCACGCTCTAGTTCCAAACTCCGGTAATTATCGTCCTGTCTGCGAATGGCGTGCTGAAGCGTGTTTCTTCCTTGTTCCATCAATCTATATGCTTCGTCTTCTCTATGCTGTTGGTGACTTAAGGAATCCCTTTCTCTTTCGAATTGCCGGTAATTTTCATCCTGCCGACGAACTGCATGTTGGGAAGTGTTATGTAATTGTTCGACTCTTCTATTGAATGAAGACCTCCTCCTTTCTCGATGATACACTCTATCCCTCGAACGCTCTTCTTCCCGAAAGTCTACATTCTGTCTTCTTGTAGACAATGCACTTGCGTTTCTTAGCAGATCCATGGGATTTCGTTCACGATAGCTATTAACACGAGGTGCAGTCAATCGTTGACGCTGCTGAGCAGATTGTTTGCGTAGTCTAGGCATATCACTGTTTCTTCGACTAAATTTATTTAAACACTGTTCACACACTATTCGCACTTCTTAAAATTAATAATAATAACTTTTAGTGCGCGATTATAGAACCGTTCTTTTCAAGTGACTGAGAAGTACTGATATTTAAGCGAACCACCAATTACATATTTTGTCTACCTATGGAATACTATATTTAATGTATTGCTACCTGTTTTTTCTATATTGATATTTAGAATAACATCAAGGTGCAATATTCAGGTAGAATATACCTTTTAGGAAAACAATCATTATTATAAAATAGTGTAACAAGTTAAATATTTTCATATAATCAAACAGGTAATAAAAGCATATTTATTGGAACAAACAAGGTAATAAAAGTGTATTTATTGGAACAAACAAGGTAATAAAAGTGTATTTATTGAAACAAACAACGTAATAAAATGAGCCCTTTATGAAATAAATATTTGCAAATTTACCTTGCAGAATATTTTAATCTCCCGTGCAATAATTGAAGTTGCACTACCTGGGGTTATATGTACTTCTCTGCAAGGAATAGTAAACCAAGTAAACAATGTATAAACCATTTTAATTTATTTTCAAAATTTGGCAGAATATAATATCAAGAGGTAGGGCATTTTGATATTTATTTTTTAATATCCAGATAAATCAACACTTATAACATCAAACTGCAGAATATCAAACCGTTCTAAAAATTGTATATTTAAGCAAAATTCTGTCATAATTCTGGGTACTAATTACGAGCTTCAAGTACATCATTATGGTCAATTCTTAAAAAAAACCTAAACGAAAGCGATCTAAAGTCGGGAAGGGCCAACTATATGATTTCCTACACTACCAAGATATCCCACAGATGAAGATGATTCTTTTGAAAAATGTGGCTAAAATCATTCAAATACCGGAGATTAGGGAGTATCGCTTTATGAGCGGTATAATATGGATCAACTTTGTAATAAAACGAAAAATTGTTGACAAATCCGTTAATAATGTAGTTAAAATCATAAAAATATGGAATATCTGTGGGGTATTGTTATATGGGCGCTATACGTGGACCTATTTAGACAATTATATTTTAGGGGTTAAAGTACTCAGAAGAAACACATTGTGTGCATTATCCGACAATTCCATTGGATTCCACTTAGCTACAATATGTTGGCGACATACGATATCGTAGACTAATATACACAAAATTTTCCAGGGGTAAAGTACTCAAAAATAACTCCGGGAGGTACCGCTGTAGGAGGGATTACGATATCGTAGACCAATGTAGACAATTCTATTTCTAGGGGTAAAATACTCACAAAGAATACCTTGTGTAGAAATTTTGATAATTCCATTAATAAATGTGGCTAAAAACATCATATTATCGAATATCGGGGGGTACCGTTATATGGGGGATATACGATATTGTGGACCTATGTAGACAATTATCTTCCAGGGTGTAAAGAACTCATTGTGTGGGTTCACATAATTCCATTGAAAATGTGGTTAAAATCATCAAAATAACGAATATCCGCGGGTACAGTTATCGGGCTGATTACGGTATCGTACACCTATATAGAAAAGTGCCTTCCAGGGGGTAAAAGACTTGTAAAGAACTCTTTCTGTAAATAATAATTCCAATAATAAAGTGGCTAAAATCAATCAAATACCGAATATATGGTGGTACCGTTATATGGGGACTATACGATATCGTGGACCTATATACATAATCCTCTTTCAGTGGGTAAAGTACTCACAAAGAATTCCTTGTGTAGAATTTCAGACAATTCCATTGAAAAATGTGGCTAAAATCATGAAAATAGCGAATATCGGGGGGTACCGTTATATGGGGGCTATACGATAACGTGGAACTTATAGACAATTCTTTTCCAGGGGGTAATGTACTCACATTAAACTCCTTGTGAGAATTTTCACACAATTCCATTGAAAAATGTAACAAGTAAAAAAGTAGTTAAGTTCGGCCTGGCCGAACTTTTAATACCCTCCACCATGAAAAATGTAAAATTAAAATGGAATAATTAGTTTCCTTTCGATTTCAAAAGTACTTAGCTCCATCGCCACGCCAAGGCTTATTCCTTGATGGAGTAGTTTATGATAATTAAGGTATAAGATTTTATCTAAAATAAAATTAGCCAATTAACATAAACCGAACATATATGCATTTCAATATAATTTATTATATCGAATATATACAATATAAAAATAAATCTAAACAATTCATAATTGCATTAAATTATGAAGAAACATAAAAATGTATATGAAGTTTAAGATAAATAATTGAGGATAAATATTTGTTGTATGGAATAACTTTTACAGATAATCCCATGTGGCGCTATGTTAGTAAATGCCCAATCTATATGGGTTCCGTGCTTAGTTGTGCAAGAATTTCTATCCAAAAGTGGAAAAAATCCTTTGCTTACTAACAGAGTTTCCGTTAAATTCTGAGTACTCCGACGACAAATGTTGAAATCGCCAACTATAATAATTTTGTCGTTATTTTGTAGCAGCAATTCTTCTATGGTTTCAGCAAGAATTTGACGAAAGGAACTCTCTGCAAAATTTGCATTTCTATACACTATCATTAGACATATACCTTTGTATTTCAAAACGATGTACTGCAAAGTCTTACATGCTTCGGAAAGATCCCTTTTCATAAGACCGCTGATATCATTTACAATATTAGATCGACTTAATGTTATGATACCTCTCTTATTTCTGGTTCTTTCTTGAGGGTCTTTTACGCAGTCAATTCTGGCAATTTCAGAAAATCCCATTAAGTTGCAGCTTTCGTTTGGGAAGGACCATGTTTCCACCAAAAAAATAAAATTAGAATTCGTAATTGTATAATCTGCACAAATATCTTCTTTATGAGCGCGAAAACTTTGAATGTTTTGGAAAAATATTTTGAAATCTTTCTCAACCAATTCGAGAAACTCAAAATGAAGATTTAATTGTTTGGTGTTCCTTAACTTATCTAGTTCTATTTTAACTGGGTCGGAATCCTGAAACGATTTCGGTGGAATAAACGGTCCTACTATGTATAGGCCAGATGCATTTGTTGCTCGACTACAGGCAACATAAAGGGCGGCTCTGGTCATCCTACTTTGTGTGTGCACAGCAACCTTTGCGTATGTGGCACCTTGACTCTTGTGAATAGTGATTCCTTCTGCTACAACCAAAGGAAATTGACATCGTTCAATACAGATTTTATCATTTCGTTTAAATTGAAATGATCTACTACACTTCTCAACTGGTGTCCAAAGTTGTTCGGAACGATGAGGCTTCCTTCGCCGTGTTTCTCTACCAACAGTTTCATCTGAAAACAACAACAAAGAATTTTTGGGTTGGATGATTCCCGTTCAAATTCTATCTCCATTAGAACTTCACTAGCTCCATTGACTAAGCCGTCCGATGTGTTAATGTTTATTGTCATCATATACTTTGCTGATTGTTTTAATGTCAGCTCCCGGCATAGTCCTTGAGTCTCTGAAGTTTTCAATTTTGTAACTTGGTTTAAGATGTTTACGGTTTGTGCAGGAATGAATCACATTTAACAACGTCGCGCGCTCTTGATGCGAATGTTTCAGTAGGTGTTTGGTGCAACTTCTGCGCATTGTAGTTATTTGCTTCTTCGTTTGATACAAACAAATGTATTGCATCCATTGGTATATCACTTGTGTCGCTTTTAATTCTGGATTTCATTATATCGACGTCTTCCTTTGTCATTATTCCATCAGACATTCTGCTTAGGGCTTGAGCGAACCTCAAATCTTCTCTTTGTCGCATTATTTCTGTCAGTTCATAGAAATGGAATAAATCCCATAATGTTGAACCTACTATAATTCCATACGGGTTTGCAGAATTGTCACTAAAAATCCACCTATCGCCAACTGGTGGAAGTTGTTTAAAATCACCAAATGCCAAAATAGAAATGCCACCAAACGCACTGGTTGTTTTAAAAATCTGCTTGAGACGAGCATCCAAATATCCCATCATTCTAGAACCAACCATTGAAATTTCATCGATAATTATAAGCTTTATATCGCTTAATTTTGTCAATATTGAATTGACGCTATCGCTGCTTAGAGGGCGCAGTTCGCCTGAGTACTGATTAACAGGCAGTGAAAACAATGCATGTAAAGTATATCCTCCAATGCCAAATGCCGCTTTTCCAGTTGGAGCTGTTAATATGACCTTTGGTAAGTCGGGATTTACTCCAGGAATACTATTTATTCTGTGTGTAATTGATTGATAAATTGCTTTGATTAAACGACTTTTTCCAACACCAGCACCACCACCAATATACTCATAAAATATTTTATTTTCCACAACATTCTGCAGAATATGATGCAAATACTTTCGTTGCTTAGAATTTAGAGTCCTTATGTCATTCAGAAGATTGTTTTCACTTATTAAAGAGGGTAACTTTATAACTCTTACATCGTTTCTTGTGTCAGGATCATTATTTTCGAAACCAAATATATTTTCTTCGGGGTTTATTTCTGGTACAGCCAAAGCACGAAATTCTTCATCAAGCATTTGAGTTGCTGCATTGTTATCGTTTACGTTAAATGTGGCGTTGTGTTCATCTTGTATTTGTAATAAGATTTCGTCAAGTTCACCTTCCGTGTATAACTCAAATTGTTGCCTATTTAATTCTATAGTTTCCTTTAAAGCAAGACATGTACTTTCATTGTCGTTCTGTAACAAATCATCTGCTACATTTCTCCAGGGCAAATACAGCATTACCAATGAACGAAAGTAATCTTCTCTGTTTGCATCGACATTGAACTTTGGAAATCTTACAATAGCCGCATTGTTTCTTTTATATACGTATCCCGAATTATTTTTTAGTCGAAGGGGAGCGCCAACTTGATCTAAATTTGTGTCATCGTTCTCAAAAAAATCATCTTCTTCCTCTTCATTGGAACGAGATTTTCTCAATCTTCGTGAATATGTGTAATACGATGCAAAATAAGCCAAACATATAT